GTACACACTCTTCTTATTTATATATATATATATATATATATATATATATATATATATAGATATATATATATCTATATATATATATGCATATATATATATATATATATATATATATATATATATATATATTTACATATATGCATATAGATATATTTATACATATATGCTATATAAATATTTAGTATTGATCAATATTTATATATAAATATGTATATACATATACATGCGTATAATATATATATATATGTATATATATATATATATATAAATGCAAATATATATATATATATATATATATATATATATGTATATATATATTTATATATATATATATATATAATATTATATATATATAGATGCATATATACATATATGCAAATATGTATATATGTATATATATATATAGATATATATATATATATATTTACACTCACACACGCACTCACACACACTCGCACACACACACACACACACACACACACACACACACACACACACGCATATATATATATATATATATATATATATAAATACATATTTATATAAATATATGTATGTATGTATATCTATACCTACATAAAAGCATACATGCAAATGTACGTATAAAGCTCAATTTGTACACACACACTCACTTAATATATATATATATATATACACACCTTTATATATATATATATATATATATATATATTAAAAATATATATATATGTGTATATATATGTATTTATATAAATAAATAAATAAATATATATATATATATATATATATATTATGTAGTATAACCATAGTATCGTTAGCTGGCATTAAGATGGCTACATTTAGTTTAATAGTGTACCACGCAATATACACTCGTATGATCAATTTAGTTTTGTATTTGTGGGTTTCGCCACTTACGGTGCACTACGCCGCCTTCTGTGCATATGCCCCGGTTTCTGGTATTCTGTGCCTAATACTGCCTTCCTTCTTGATTCAAAATAGGCTTGAGACCGTTCGGTGTGTCCTTCTTATACACGGGGTGGGATAAACACTTCGGATTCCAATTGTATCAAAGCGATCCTTCGGGAAACTATGGTGGATGGAAGGCTGCTTGTATTGGATCCAATAGTCAGGTTTGTCGCTATTTCAGTTATTTCGTTAGAGCAGATCAGAACCTGTATGAGCAATGAGTATGCACAGGTCAAATCAACTTCCGGCAATCACTAACGAATGCCAATGTACATCGTTATGTTCAATGGCTGTATGTGCTGGCATCGTTTTGTTCAATGGCTGTATATGTTTGAGAAGCGTTTTGCACGCTGATAGTTCCGAATAAATGGTCAGCGCTGCGTGTAAAGGCAGCCTTACGTTTCTGTCTGTCGGTCACCGTTTTATTTTATGTACTATTGTCTTTCTTTCAAGTTCTGTTGCTTCTATATATACCTTATATTTGGGTTGTTGGCTATAATCATGATCATGATCATGAAAACATTTATTTGTCATGAAAACGTAATCACGCTGGCGCGTTATATACCTTGCGACACTCAACAGTTTGCGGCATACTCTCAGTATGGGGGTAAATTCACGGATCGAGTCCTATCGTTAACCTCCGTCTTTTATCACAATACACACACAATAGGCCGCACAGAGTATCCTGAAGACCGACTATTCGGAGGACATGTCGTTGGATGACGCCCTTATGTTGGCGGTCAAAGTACTGACGAAAACTATGGACAGCACCACGCTATCATCTGAGAAACGTATGTCAAGAGGTTCCTTGTGGCTAGTTTGATAGCCGCTTCGGCTGTGTGTTGATGACGTTGTTCTGGTGTGGCAGGCTTGATAGGAACGACGGTTTGTCTTGAGCACACCTTTCAGCGTAAGACTAGACGGCCTTTTGCCACTCACCTGATTGCTGTCAATGTTTTGATTGGTCAAGACTACGTCTGCTCGTAGTAGCGAGGCTACAATCTAATGTTGTCACCTTTTGCAAGCAATACCACTGCGTGAGCGTGTTTTACGTTAGTTTCGTGTTTTACAATTCCGGCGAACAGGGGGGCTTCCAGACCTCCGATATGTAGGGTGGCTAGGGTGTAGATTAAGAGATTCCTCATATTTTAATTGTCAAATAATCTATCTACAGTTGAATTCGCGACCCTTTCCCGGAGAAATGGCAAAACTGTGTTCGAACATGTGAGTGCCAAACGAACGGATGAACTTCTCACAGCCGGTAAGAAGATTCTAGAAGAGAAGAAATTAGCCGAACAGAGAGAAAAGGCAAAGCTAGCGAAGAAGTAGTTTCTGTAATTACGAAACCAGACTCGACCAATCTTGTGAGGCTTGAGTGCTAGTTACCTCGCTGTCATACATGTTATAGGCTATGCAAGCAATTAAAAATGTTCATGCTAATAAAGTGAATCTTCCCGTAGTTCCTCATTTATTGTTGCACGGCTGAAAAGAGAGCCCAGTTGAAGTATGAAGTTCAAAACTCGGGGTTGGTGTGTACAAGACTTCATACTTCAAGTAAAGTTTCAAAAGCTCATTATGACCCTGGATCAATCAATACAAAGTGGTCTACACAGTTTGGAAGGTTGAAAATGATAGAGACCGTTTGACAATGTAATAACTAAATAATAATAAGAATAAAATCTCGGTTTATCTATATATATATATATATATATATATATATATCTATTATCTATCTATCTATCTATCTATCTATCTATATATATATNTATAT